GGTGCGCGTTGTGTCACGGGAATGTGTTTATCAAGCCGTTTTCACTAACGCACAGTTACACTTACAAACGGCTCGAGTCTCTTGACCCTTTACACTGTCCTCTCGTTGTCAGGAAGGTGTATCGCTTCAAAAACACAATTTAATTAACACTCTTTTTGCCTGCTCGACCACGGTCTGAAATGCAGCATAAATATTACGTGCGTATTTTATTCACTGCATAAGTACTATATATGTGATAACAGGGATTCAGAATTAGATAAATGCCAATTAAATTTAATGAAGTTTTTCCTCAAATCCCGCCTTATATCGAGTGTCTATTGTACTTCGAATGTGTAAGCAATTTTCCATGACGTACATAGAACCAACCGCCTTTCGTCAGGAACTCACTGTGCGCATGCCCTCTCCCATGTACATAGAACATATAATCGAATTGTGTTGTGGGCTGCGCCATTTGCAATATGGAGGAGATGGTAAATGTGTGTAAAATTTTAATTCGGAAAACTGAAGGAAAAGGAAAATTTCTCATATGGACACTTAAATGAGAAGACAACACTAAAATGTATATTGAAGTCCTAGAGCGTGAGAATGTGAACTGGATCGACCTGGTTCCGGATATAGACCAGTTGCAAATCTTTGTGACCGTAGCAATGAGCCCTCAGGCTCCATAAGAGTAGTAAATATCCTCGTTAGCTGAAAAACTATTGGGAATGTAATAGTGACTTATGAAGGAGGATTCAGTTCTACGGAATTTGAATGGAGCCGGAATAAGAGCCCTTTCATAAGTATAGTTGTTAACTTCATACAGTTTTCCCAAAACCTAATTATTACCTGCCTAAATAACCACACGCAGATAAACAGCTAAAGTATAACTCTGCCAAAGAGGGTAAATACTTAAACAACAAATGAAGTCTTTGTAAGATTTGAGGTTTTCACGGCGGTGACTATGAAAAAAACAGTCTTCTGGGATTTGGCACCGTGTATATGCGGTGGTAACCGACGTTTCGGAGGAACGTCGGTTAACACCACATAGACACGGTGCCAAATTCCAGAAGACTGCTTTCTTCAAATGAAGTCTTGCAATAAAGATGAAAATATAAAAGCCGCCAATACCGAATACCAGGCACTATCCTGAGCCAGTTTAATCCATCGTTCCTTGTGAATACAATGGTTGTGAAAATGGAGACAGAAAACTGGAACTATTAACTCTCTTGCTTTTATTTAAAATTATTCTCTACATACAATACACGTCATTCTTATAGATGATGCGTTTGGCATGAAAACAGAATTGACTAGATAGACCTCATTATAGCATTTCATAATCATACAAAATGAGTAGCCTCTGTGACGGAGGTGACAGACGTGTGCATAAGCTCCTCTTGCAATATTAACACTGTCATCGTGTTAATATTGTTACAGTGTTCGCTTCACGTTTGCTTGTTTAACTAACAGAGAGGCACTCAAGTAAAAGCACTTCCTCGTCCTTAACGATAACAGCTTCAGCAGGAAGAGACGAACGTTTTAGAGCGAAGCGAGCAGAAACTGCCTAAAATATTTAAACGTTGTGCGTTTCGAAGCTTGGCTCGTAAGTCTCATAGTCGCACACGTTTTTTGTTGTTTTCCCCACTTCGGAATTTCACTCTGTAGTAATTTACTCACTGATGAAAAGCACGCGCACGCACAGTGCTGTTATGTAAAGGTAAATATTTTGAAATTTCATCTGCAGTTCAACTCCCAAGTGGATATTTGTTACCGATCGCTAATTACTGAGGTCAACGTTCTCGGCTTATCGAATTTCTACAGCTGTCGGTGGAGTTTTCTTTTAATCTTGCCACTGAAAAAATGTCCTTTAAAAAACCAACCGGGAATTTCCTATTGTTATTTCATTCTCTTACTATTCCTTCATCCTCCATTTTGTTTTTCTTAGATATGAGGAGTCGAGGCCCCTTGACGTTTAGCGCCATCTGTGAAGACTGAAAGTAACTAAATCCCCTTTGAGTGCACAGCATGCACACATGCTCGGTCCCACCGTCAATTTATTTGGCTCGGGAAAGAACTTCTCACGAGACGAAGGAGTCTGATTCCAGATCAAGTTGTTTCGAAACAATGTAAACGCTTCAGTTTAAACTGTCAGGAAGAACGGATGCACCTAACGTTTTCTTTTCCTGATATTGTATTTAAGCATCTTGTTGCACTTATATATGTTTTATTTCACATATATTTCCTGCTTAAATGGAACTTATTACATAGTCACCCTTCTTCCACATTACACGGTTCGGCTGTCTACGGCCATCATCAGGTGTCTTCTGTGTTGCTAAAATTGTTGCACTGTATGTCAAAATTTCGTATCGTGTGTGAACGCGATGTTTCATGATTAAAATGAACTGACTTTAATTAAAACAAATTCATTAACATCCAAATATTTTACTTATGGCCGTCCTCTCTTCTCACGCCGTCTCAGTCAGTCTCGACTACCACCATATTGTGACAGGATCAGTATTATTATCTTCCATTGCAGAAGGTAAATGCACGAAATTAATAAATACAATCATGCGTTACGTCGGACGAACGTATCAACTTTAGATGAATTGAGCAACTAATCAAACATTAGTTTCCTCAGTGTGCGCCTGCTAAGCTGGAAACCAGTTGCCTGCTTGAAATCGGCGACATATCTCGGAAAGTGCGGTTGCGTTGCGGTTGCCAGTTTCCTTGGTGTGCCCTCGCCCTAAAGGAGACAAGACTCTGCAGCCTTTTCAAATGCCTAATGTCCTTGGCAATAAGTTATTACCTCATTCATTAATACATTCATTGGGTTTCCAAAGAGTACGTGTAAGTCATGTTTATTGGCGTACAAAACGTACAGATTTTCTTACACGAAATGGAAATCTGCAGCCAACATTAGCTGTGTGTTTTTAATTATATTTTATGATGATGCACATTCACCAGAAATTCAAAGCCCTCACTGCCATGGAAGACTGTAGTTAAGCTTTGCAATCTTTCTTTTTAATACAATTTCTTTTCAACTGTGAGCGGCGCGACACTGATCAGCCACTGTTTAAGTACATTACGTGTAAATTCACCCATGTCTGTTGTACATATTGCTGCATAAAAATTATGTAAATGCTATATGCTACATTATGCTACTTGAATGTATGAGGGGTGCGCCTTCTTGGCCCTTGCACCGCGACCACAGCGATCTGTTGTGCCTTCATGTCATAAATTAAAGCGTATAATGTGTCATGCTGTATCTTCTCATATTCATGTGTGCTCAAATGTTTGCAATATTTCGGGCACAGGACCCCCCATGGGCCCCCAATAACAAAAGTTGTCTGTTTTCATACTTGAGATTTCTGTTATCTGCCCTTTCATTTTGGGGTTTTATGCAGATACATCCACCTTATAACTTGACAGTATTATTATTATTATTATTATTATATTTAATCTGTTGTTTGTAACTTAATGCCGTGCAACGCGAGGTGCTGGTATAATCTAAAATTGTTTTCACTTCCCTTGAGTTATTCTAGTTTGCTCTTGTAACTTCTCTGTAACATTATTTTTTAGAATAAGAAATTACTGTAGAGTAAAATCGTGTTTGATGTTGAAGATATATATATATATATCTGGTCTAATCGATGTAATACTTTATAGTAACATATAGTCTTAGTAGTCCGACAGCTTTGGGACCAAGGTACCACCTGACTACGAAAACCGACGGATTACTGAAACAAGTGGGAAAAAATTATTGTTATTTCTGTATTTTTTTTTTCTGATATCATATATCATAGCAAGTCTTTAGCCAAATTAACAAGTTTTTCACCTTTGTTAAATTTCTTAATTATTTCCGCTTTAGCACTTGACGTTTTATATTTACGTTTGTCAGAACTGGACATCTGCAGCACACGTTAAGTCCACGCTATATGAAAACACTGTACAGAAATGCATATTACTGAGGAACTGAAATACTGTGTAAGAGCGAGGGTTTAAATAAATCAATTTGTCAGGCTCCACTGAACACAGGTCAGCCTCTGCTGCCTGTAGAAACCTGCACAAGGTCACGGACGCCTGTGTGGCGCCTGCTGCCGGATTAGTGGACGTGTCGGACTAGCACATGGCCGGATTACCGAGATTGAATTGTACTAGTAAAATTATTCACGAATATTACTTTAATAATTGCTACGTGAAACAAAATGTTATGTGTACGAGGCAGATGGAGTGCGATATACACGTCACCTGTCGCTGTGAAAATTTAGTTTAGAATAATATATTGCTAATTAGAGGAAACCCAGACTCCACGACATTGTAACCGGACTTACTCGACTACTGCCACTTCTTTTTCAAAGCGCAGCTGCTATAATAATTAATGTTCCCATTCTAATGAAGTAGACTGGAGAGGTTTCAGCACGCCATGCTGATGTAATGACATTCGAAAGCCTACTCACATAGCGAACACTCGAATTAATTCCGTCCCTGACAACTGACTTCTAGAATGAGTGGTTGGAGTTGTTATTTCATATACCTTACTGCTTTTTTGATCTGATCACAAAGTGAATAATGTTAAAGGAAATGATGCTAACTATGCTACCTGCGCATGCCGTGTTATTCAAGGGAACTCCTTTGGAGGAGCTTTCGAGTTGTGCGTAGCGTAGACTAGTTCACATATCTGACTCCTGTTGTCGAGACGACTGAGTTGTATTGTCGCAAGAAATCTGGGTGTCCGTACGCTGCAACTTACCACGTCTGCGGCACGAGCCAAACAGATAGCCGTTGAACAGCCTACGGAAAGTGAGACTGGTTACGTACAGTGCTAATGGGTTAAAGCACGGATTTGAGAAAAGCAGGTAATATGTTATGTTGTCAAGAATCCTATAGGGCAACTCCAGCCTGTCCAGATTAAGGGTTGTAGCAATCCTTCCCCACAAGAAGAAGGGCACATAGCTGATGGTGAAAACCACGCAGAGAGCAGTTACAACTTTCGCGCCTCGGTTACGGGCTTCCTCGTGTACCTTGTGTCTTGCATCGCCCGGGATATCCTTGGCGCTCCGCTTCAGTCTTCTTGCCGTTAGCAGAGTGAACACGAACATTATACCGGGCAGCGCGAAACAGTATACAAGGAACTCGTGAAGAGAGACCACTTTGGCAGACTTGCGACCACTCTTCTCGGCAGGATTGTCGTCACAGACTTTCTCGCGCAGTGTGTCCGGCAGTACGATGCTTGACGCTGCGGCCCACACCAGAAGGATGTAGGTTACGGTAATCATGAGTGAGCTTAGGCGGCTCCTTGCTTTCAAACTGTGGAACGCTGGTAATGTGGCGCAGAACCTTTGAGCGCTCAGCGCTACAACAGAGAGTGCGCTGGCCGATGTGAACATACACCTCAGAGAGACGAAGAGCACACACACGGGTTCACTCAGTCTCACGTAGGATGGGTAGTAAAAGCCGAAATATTGCAGTGGTAAATTGAATGTGAGATTTAGAATGTCTGCCATCACGATATTGAAAATCATTATATTTGGGGCAGTCCGAATTTCCTTTTTCTGCGCAAACATGAATAACAGAATTGTGTTCCACACAAGACCTGTTAACAAAATCAATATATACAATGGAGGATCTATGTAGTCACGAAAAATGATTGTTGTTTCCAGTTTCTCCATTAGTGATTTTTGGTAAAACAGACTTTGTCTCGTGCTCTCCAGCAAGCTCATACTACAGTTTATGTAGGGGAAGTTATTAATCCAGGTAATAATCATTGTTCCTCTGTGATTTTGCGCGAATAGAGACATATTTATATATTTAACAGATTCATAAATTGTTTCTAACTTTTCCAAGTATTTCTGTGTCTCTTGTATTGAGTACACACCGATATCATAGTCATAAGTGTCATTAAATTGTTCGCTAAGTTTCATAGATCGTGTTTTGAGATCCATCAAGGCGGAGTAATTCGTTGAGGTTTCGTATATAACCGTAAGCGCTTCATATGAGTGTTCTACACGCTCCAGTTCTCGACTTTGGTTCTCAGACGTGATGTTGGTGAGAGAGATTGCTTGCAGCCACGCCTTCCTCTTGGCCACATACGTCCTCGTCACCTCGAGGGCAGAGAGACCCTTTTCTTCGCTGCCAGTATTGAGGTAGTCAAAGATGTTGCTCCATGCTATATCGCTCTCCTTGCTGAGAGCTCTATCGTCGAGGGCCATGTTCTGGAGTTCTGTTCCATCGCTACTGCGCACGCCTGAACTCACTGCGACCACCATGCAGAGCTGTGGAACGACACTGATTAGATTTGGTTGGCACAATACAGACAGAAATTACAGTGTTCCTTGTGGAGGTTCAGGTCTGCAAGAGCAATTATTTGACAAGAAATAATTATGTCTTACCCCGTGCTTAAGAGTGTATGGTGGTGGTGGCTTGTTTTGGGGCGCTTTCTATAAAGCAGACTATGTAGAGCGGAGTAGTAGGACTATAGATGAAGAATGTATTGTTAGGATTTCAAGGAATGATCGAGGTCTAATTGAGGCGTTACGCCATAAGTCTCTGTTCCTCCCTTAATGTCGGAAACCAAGTTTCACACCTACTCAGAACCACAGGCAAAATTTTCCTTTTTATATTCTAATTTGTATGTTTTTATACAGCAGACGAGAAGATAAAAAGTTCTGGACTGAATGGTAGCAAGCATTACCCGAGTTCAATCTGATCTTAATTTCCTCCTGAATCAAATTTTGATTTGTTACTCTAGTTTCTAAGTATTTGAACTGTGCCACATTTTAAAGGACCCATTACTTACCTTCATGTCATTATTTTGGTGACGAGAGAGCAACAGAGTCATGATAATTTTGCTCTGCATTCTGGTGAGGAGACAAAGGGTCTCATCACCAGACTGCAGAGCGAAATCAATATGACATGAAGGTAGCTAAAAAGAAAATGCAAAAAAAAAAAAAATGAAAATATTTGGGAACGACAGCAACACATCAAAATCTGATTAATGAGTAAATAAAAAGCAGATGTTATCAGTTCACCAATTTATAGATGCCATACATAAAACATAGCGTTACTTCATAGAATTTCGGAAAATTATCCTTCATCAGAATGAAACGAATAACATACAAGCATAGGTATAGGTTCATTGTGATCGTCTCTTTCGGAACCAAACTAAAATAATGACACGGCTTTTCTTCACAGAATATGACACGAATGCTTCGTTAAAATATGTTATGACGTGGTTAGGACCTACATCCGCGCCTTATTATGCAGACTCACAGCTGTTGATTTGTTATTACTTTCAAACTGAAGTTAAATATTTCTTCAGTCGTTCGCCATATTGCAATTTCCTGTGCACAATCTGAACTTAGGCTCATATAAAATTTCACACACGCACAAGCACATGACGCCATAGAAGGACAACTTTCTTTGCAAGGTTAACATTCTACATGTTCAACTCCCTAGTCAGTCTTTGTTAGTTTACAGGAATAAGTACTGTGACAAAGTAGGCCGTATTTTAAGCTAATTCAGTAAAGCACTTTAACACGTCATAAAACTTTACCTTGTTCCTTTTACCTTGAGAAATATCGGCATGGCGTAGCGCATCTGCGGTTTCTGATCTCCTTTTGCTTTCATCGCGAAGAAAGACTCGTTCACTGTCGTTTCGAACCCATGACAATTTTAATACCAACTTCATATTTCATATCCTTCAATGCTTTATTTTCGATCGGTGCACTTGTATTGTATAGGTCCCTGTGTTCTCTACGCCTTCTTGGGTGTCACTGCCAAATCAGGATACTTGAAGTTGTGCTAAGTAATTTATTGGTATAAAATCGCCATTGAAAGCCAAGCGAACCGTTTCAATCACAAGAAAACTTCAAAGCTGTTTTCTCTCTCTAGCAACGCTCTGGGGTCTTCTTCACACGCTCGAGTGCGGTTTCGCTTATGAAGGTCGCGGAGGTGACTTCAGGCATGTCACAACGGCAAAGGAAACTGAATTTGTAATTAGATTTCGTATCTTAAGGAAGAATAGAAGAACTCGTATTCGCGTTATGCAGCTGCGCTTCTGGCCGCGAACTTTGCACAGGCCGAAATATTTTGTAACGAATGCTTTTTCTTGTTTTCTTTTCTATGTTTCCTCTTCTTTATTTTTCCCACCGACGCCATCAGCATTCCACTCGTACTGAGCCTTCTGAAGCGGTGTAGTTCAGGGTTGCGATCCAATTTTCGGACAGAATAAGAGCCGGCGAAGCATTGACAGTAAGTTCACTTCCTTTGGCCGAAACGTTTTAAGCAGTGGGAATATCATATTTTAATTAACCCCATGAAACAGAATTTTCCCCAAGAAATTATAAATCTCCTATCCAGTCATGAAATTCAACGTATTTTATGAAACCCGACGGTTCAGTACAGTGTTCACAAAAACTGTTCTGACGCCAAATTAAGCCAATCAAAATCATGTCCAGTTTCTTTAAGACACACCTTAAAATTATTCTCACTTTGAAGCTTAGGTCTCCGAACTGGACTATTTCTTTTGAGGTTTTTCGTTACAGTCTTGTGTGCATTTCTCACCGCTTCTGTGTCACGTACAACTGCTATGCTACAAACAAACAAACAAACAAACAAACAAACTCCTAATTTTTAGTCAGGAAGCTAACTATACCGACCGAGCGACCGCCGCCTGTCGACGAAGTTAGTGCGACCATTAGCGGATAGAGGGTGTCACGTGGTTAGCGCAGCGAATCCCCACGGCCGTTAATTTCGGTTTTCTAGAAAAAAGAAGCTCAAAGAGCTAATTAGTTTTGTTAAAAAAAAAGTGGGTTTTCTGACGTGAAATTATGGCAAGATATACTTTCTTCGGTGCATAATTAAGCACCGTGCAGCTAAAATATTTGAGGAACTAAGGTGTAGATCCACGCGTTCTAAACCTCCCCTTCTTCATACTCGGAGTAACAGTGATCTGCACCAGCGTTAGAGGACGCTAGGTGGAAACAGAAAGCAGCATGGCTGCCTGGGCTCGCAGCCCAGTCACACGCTCGTAGCGATCCCGGCTCCATCTCCAGAGAGATCATTTCACAAGAATACAGCACATTTTAGTTATTCGCTTTAATTCTGCGTGCAAATCACGTATCGCCATGGCGACGCGCAGCATGTCTAGACCACCAATATCACGTAAAAACAATCCAGGCAAATTTATCACCAAAGAATGTTTGGGGACATGAGATAGCGTGCTCCGGAATACGAGGGGGTACCAAAAAGAAACCGAACTTTTGTTTTTAACTTATTTATTCAAATTTTAAGCACAAACCTTCAATCCCCTTCAAAGTGCTCTCCACTTACACTAATACACTTGTCTAGTCTTTTATTCCATTTTTCAAAACATTGTCTAAATTCATCTTTTGAGATGCTTGACAGCGCCACCGTCGTTTTTTCCTTTCATGTCTCTTTTCATTCGAGGAAACAAAAAAAAAAAGTCTCACGGGGCAAGATCGGGTGAGTATTGAGTGTGAGGAACAGGGGTCATACCATTTTTGGTCAAGAATTGTCGTACAGACAGGGCTGTGTGAGCAGGGGCATTGTCATGATGGAAAAACCAGTCACCCGACTGCCACAAATCTGGCCGCTGAGCTCCAAGTCACTCCCGACAGCTCCACAATTTCTTCAATGGTCCGTCGTCGATCTTCCTTGATGATTTCACAATTTTTTTCAACATTTTCATGTGTTCGGGCCGTGGAAGGACGACCAGAACGAGGTTTGTCATCAGTTGACATTTCACCATTTTTGAAACGGGAAAACCACTCAAACACTTGAGTTTTCCCCATAGCATCGTCCTTGTACGCCGTTTTTAACATTTCAAGAGTTTCTGTTCCACTTTTCCCGAGCAAAAAGCAGAATTTCACTGCCGCACGCTGTTCACGAAAATCAGCCATTGCAGAAACGACGATCACACAAAACAGTTGTCACTATAAACTCTGCCGAAACTAGTTCTTACCTTCTAAAGCAACGGTAGTCTGCTTATCTACTCAGGAATGTTAGCTCTATGCGCTCATAGCGGCAAAACGCGGTACTACAAAAGCTCTGCCCACAAAATTTAGTTCGGTTTCTTTTGGGTACCCCATCGAAACACGTTACAGTATCTTTGTATCACTATATAATCGAAATGTATTGATGATTTATAGACCGTAACTACATGTAACTATAGCGCTATCGTTAATTCATACACTCTACAATTCACTATAGCACGCACTAAGTCTTCTCAGTCTGATGTATCTTCACCGGTTGTCTGGTAACGGCTTCCAACAGCGTCTCTTCGGCGTATCCTCGGCTTCCGTGTTCATGCTCATACTGGCCGGCGACTGTCTCACAACTAACTAAAATCTGGACTTGTCCTTCTTATAACACATGGGCACGGACCGCGCAGAAAACACCTCTCGCAACAGAGTCGGGGTTACTTTGCAAGTGGCGGTTTACCGCCAATCAGACTCACGACCAGTAATTTTATTTTCCAACTGAACACTTGGGTGGGTTTGTCGTATATAATATCTGCTGGGTCTCGCCAGCGCAGTCATTCTTAGGTCCGAGTCCCACGGAACTCATGACCACATTTTACTGGAGGGCCAGGTCACCGTATTTATATCCTCAAGGAACAGGGTGGTCCGGTTATATCACAGACGCGCGCATTACGTAGCTATCGCAAGGACCGCGTAGAGAACACCGCTTCCCAGTTTCTCCATTGTTGCTTGTTACAAGTCTGTTGCCGTTATCGAGCAACGGGTCTTCATACCACAATACATATTCATACTTGTTATACTTACTCTTATTTCAGCGTTTCTGTTGAATTATAATAGGCTTCATATTTATTCTTGCGGTACGAGTCAGTCAGTTTTAACCCGGTGAATACTTCCCAGGGCGCAGTCCTTGCACTCGGCACCCAAATATGTTGCTACTGACCTTCCATCCTGCGTAGGGAATATGCGACTATCAAAATTGAATTTACATTAGTTTCAAATTTGACCATCTCTGTGGTCTAGTGGTCACAGTTCCTGGCTACAGATCCACAGGTTCCGGGTTCGATTCCCGGTGCTACCGGATTTTCTGTGAAGTGGTGGGTTTGAAACGGGGTGCACTCAGCCTCGTGAGGATAATTGAGGAGCTACTTGAATGGAAAAAGTAGCGGCTCCGGTCTAGAAACCCGAGATTAACTGCCGTGGGGATCCGTTGCGCTGACCACGCGACACCTTCTATCCGCCAAAGTTGGCAGTAACTTCGCCGACAAGCGGCAGCCGCTCGGTCGGTATAGTTGGCTTGCGGACTAAAAGCCACAGAGTTTTTTAGTTTTAAATTTAGTCCTTTGAAGTCCTGCTTCATCTAAAAATACTTAATTACAAAGGCCAATCAGTTAATAGTGCAGAAGGAATTAATTTTTAAAGTTAAAGCAAGCTGTAGTAATCACTGTGCCTTGAACGGCAAATTTAATTTCATGTTTAAATACATTCCTCAGAGCTTGGACCGTCGCGATAAGCTTTGCAGTTTAAGTGGACTTCAGCTTGTGCCGTTATCAGAACAAGGCACTGTAAATGCCCTTAAAAACTTTGGTTTATGAATTGTCAGAAGTACACGAACATAATGCAATAAAATTTTCGTGTAGTCGAGAAAACTTCCGCCCATAAACTGATTGGGGAAGAGACATTGCAGACAGTGCACGTCTGTCCCGCTCTGTACCAACCGTAAAGTACTGCCCGAGAACCATGACCACAACGGGAAAACGTCTGCGTGGTCAGACCCACTTCCAGGGGCAGGTGAATCCTCTGCAGTCCGCGAGTAAACCGCTGAAATAGAAACATTTGCGATTCAGTAAGAGGTGAAATGGTTTGCATGTAAAATTTTGTTTCCTTGACCTGCGATAATGCATTGTCCAGGGAACATCATTATTTCAGTTGTAGGCTCCGAGACCGGCTATCAAACTGGGATTAGTTTTGTGGATTTCCTCATTTCTCCAGACAAATGCTAGGTAGGGCCTCAAATTAGGCTATGGCCACTATGGCGGATTTTTGTACGTTCCAGCACCTTTGAGTATGAGGAAGTGTTTTCTAATTCCGTCACGTTTGTCTGCATGTATGTAATGCATTTGCGTTTATGTGTGTCCCTTGCAAACGCCTGCAGTGTTTGACGGATTTTATTAATAATTAAACGTTTAAGAGTTTATTCTTCATATGTCATCCGGGGAGCATGAAGAGTCCATCTCCAATAATAGAGTCCCTTCAAATGGGCCACCAAAATAAAATGGCCATTTTCTGGAAAAGACTTTAAAGGTTTTGTACAAATTTCGGTAACTTGTGGGACCAGCGCCCTAGGTACGAAAACTGCATAGCTGATATCTTCACGAAAATGGCGATAGGTGCAGTAGAGCCCAAACATTTCTGCATCGTGCAAATGCCCGAGCAACAGCCAACATTGGTTTACTTTGTACCCAAGCTAAGCCATGCGCAGAAAGTGTGCGCAATGTTTCTTCACCGATTTTTTCCCCTTAAATTGTAATAGTGTTTTGGAGGCTGTTGTTAGTTGCTGAATATGCAAGATCGGAAACGTGTGTAGAGCAGCATCCCTTTTGTTTAGTTATCTCGGGAAGCGGGGGAAATACGGAAGGAAGGCCGCGCCATAGCTCAAGCGGTTAGTCGCTAGCTTCCCACCGCGGTGGCCCGGGTTCGATCCCGGGTCTGGTCAAGTGGGATTTGTGGTGGACAAAGTGGCGCTGGGCGGCATTTCTCCGAGTACTTCGTTTTACCCTGCCGATCTTCATTCCATCAAATTCTCCATCATCATAATCACACGGGGCAGACTACAATAGCCCAATCAGTGGCCGCTGTGCCGAGTCGACTCAGTTGGACTCCACCCCCACTAAGCGAATTAAAAAAAATACGGAAGGACTATATTGTACGCATTATGCGTAATTCCATTTTCTCTAGAACTTATGTTCCAAACATTTCGCTTCTTCAGTCAGTAAATTACTTGTGTATTTTTGTCGGCTAAATACCTATAGTGTGGAAGTTAACAAAGAGAGCCGCGTTTAGAGAGAAATTGTTCAAATCATTATTTGAAATTTCCACTTGTTTCCTATGTGAATCATCAAGCCATAAGGATAAAACATACTTGTATTTCTCAATTGGTATACAAATACTGGAGCTATTGTTTGCACAGATTGCATTGTAAATAAACAAACGGAATAAACTGATAGCGAGCGTACAAAGGATTTATCTGGATGTTCCTGCTTCTATGAACGCCATTTCTCACCC